CAGGCACAAAGCAACTTTCCCTCTGGTGAATGACACAGGGGGAGAAGGGCTTTGGTTTGTGGCTTCTGCTCCCAAATCAATAGAATGAGCAGCCATAAATTTTACCAGGCTTGGAGATCAGGATCCTGTGTCCACCGAGGGAGGCAGGCCTAAGACTTGGGAGATCCGAGTCCCATTCAGGCTCTCAACACACGCAGTCCTTGACCGTAGTGGGTCAGCCTGGCTGTCAACTCAGGTCCAAGCAATGTGGGGACATGTGTCACAGGGACGTAGACTTCTGGACAGCAGAATACACAGTCCCAGGAATGGCAGATCAAGGTGAAAAGACAGAGAGAGGAAATGGAGGCTTCTCAACACACTGCAGAGACAGACACCTGCACCTGATGTGATCCCAGGTAGTGCCAGGTGAAAGCTAAGAGGCTTAAGTGGGTGAGGCTTTACCATGCCTGGACTTAGGGAGAAAAGAGTTGTCCATATAGGATATGGACCCCAGTTCAATAGAAGAATGAGTCCTGGGCTTTTGGAGATGTCAAAGAGCAAATCATGAATGAGAAATGACCCAAGAGCTTAACAAACAACAAAGGGAACACACATGAAATCTGGCGCCTGCCCTGGATCCTGAGAAGGAGGGGTTAGAGCTGTGAAGGCTGATGTGCTCCTTTTGTCCTCACAGCCATAGTTTCATGGACAATGAGTGTACCGTTTAATGGGAGAGTCCCACAGGGAGGCCATTTGGTTCCTGATACGAGTTGAAGTGGTAATAGTGTGCACGGGGAGTCTTTTCCATGAAAGCGGCGACCAGCATAGCACCGTGGACTTGCAGTGAGAACTGGAGGAGCTGGGCACGGATACACGATGATGTTCACTCATTCACTCACTCCAAGGATGTCTGAGGGAGAAGAGGAAGTGTCATGGTGAGCAGCCTCAGATTATCAAGTGGAGGGGAGCACTGAGGGCCACGTGTCAGGGAGAAGACCCCGAGAGCTGAGGGACCCTTCTGTTCCGTAAGAGGGCAAAACAGAAGGCCTTCTCAACTGTCAGGCTTGGAGGACTACAGGAAGCTGTGATTCAGACAAAAGAGAAAATTATCACAGGATCTACATAACTCTGGGGGGTGGAGAACTTCAGTACGACTGGATAGGCTCTGTGTAAAACTGAGGGGACAATGCATGAGTACTTAGACGAGCATGCAGTCAAAACGAGGGGTCCCAAAATCTCATCCCCTCTCTGCCTCAGGAAAACGCAAGCAGAGGTAGGCAGATATACTACATGTTCATATTCATCCCTGGAACTTAGGCAGCTGCAGGCTTAGTGCAAGTCTGGAAGCGTCTGATTACTGGGTCGTGGAGAACAGTCCATGCATGAGTGGGTACCACAGAGAACAGCAAGTCCAGGAGAGTGCATCCCACGGGTCAGAGGAGTGACAGCATGTGCCTCACATTTTATTCGACCTCTGAGTTCTGCACAACGTGAGAATCTTAATCAGATCTAAAAGGACTCCGGTCATCAGAGGGCAGTTTTTATATGGCCAGAAGTGATAGCAAAAGCCCTGAGGCTTCAGAGAATTCCCACTCCATGTCGGCAGTGGGCTCAAACCCGTTCTCTGGAGGGCAGGTGTAGGAAGCCCCAGGCGTAGATGTCAAGCAGCAAAGCC